ACTGTGACAACATGCTGGTCATTCAAAACACGTACTGATAAAGTACGATGAATAGACGACAACTGGATCAAAAGCGGAGAGACAATGAGCGACATGATTTTTTGATACAGGTCCCAATCTACTTACCTTGATTATCGATAAAGAATGGAATAACGGGTAAGTTAAAAGTTCAAAGCAGCGTCGTTCACAATACCCAATAAAGATGAAGACTCCTCGAAGCACTGCGAGCGTTTTGAATTCATTCGCATATTTTCTTATCATTGAATGTAGATCTTTTTAAAGAAAAGCCTATTTCTTATCCGATTTAAGTAGACAGCGAGTCACTTAAATACCCAACATCAAATGTAGAAAATTGATGTAAATATGTTCAGTTCCATTCTTCTTTGTAAATTGTATTGCTATCTTTCTTTATTTTACAATTTTCTGTTGCAAGAATATATGTAGTACACCTGAACAACTGTTCACCATCAGATAATTTTAGACTGCTTTTTTGTAACCTGAAATCTTTGAATTATTGCCTTTTTCACACGTCGGCCTCGGGTGGAATATTGAGCATAATAAACACGATATGAATATATTCAAACAACTGTTTAGAAAGTGCGATTGAAACAAACTCACCTACTCCTTGTGCCTTTAGCAGTTTTCTCCTGGAATGCTGCAATGAATGTATTCTGCTCAATAGCTTTTTCGGCATTGGAATGTCATGTCTCTGAGTTCCAAAGAATCATATTTTTCATATCGATCTAGCAAATTATTATTATACCATTTAAGTTGTGGATAAACAAATGTGAGAACAATTTTGAAAATAATTTGAAATGTCTAAACGGCTTAGTTCTGAACAAAAAAAGAGTCTCAAATTCAGTTTACTTTTCATATCTCAATGTTTTGTATCCGCAGTATCTTGTTTTTACTTTGTTAAAGTTGTTGTATCTTGATCACCACGATTCAGGGGTTGAAGAGGAATTTTTTACCTCTTCTATCTATCATCATTTCATCTCCTTTAAACCAAATGACTTTTTTTAGATTTTGAATATCCGTTGTTTGATCGTCTATCTTATTTTTGAATATTCCTCAAAGTACCTACGTTCAAAGGAAATTAATCGAAAATTTTCATGCACTCAAAATGTTATAGAAAAATGATACAAAAGATAAAATCTTGAATTTTTGAAACGTACCTTTTTCGACTCTTCAGCTAAACAGCATTTATCTCCATTTAATTATCGTCTGTTGGCTCTTTAGCTTCGTTGGCAACAGGAATCTGAAATGCAGTTTTATAAATTACGACCATCTAGACACAACAAAGTTTAGAGATTTATTGAGATAAAGGAAAATTCATTAGTAATATTAATAATAATATGTATAAAGTGTCTTGAACTTATGTTTAGAGGTTATTTATGGTGAGGCTTGTTTCATATTTCATCTCGCATTGTTTAGAAATCCTCTCTCACAAAATGAAACACAATACTGGATTATTTTTTAAATGTTTGCTACATTCCTCTTTGTTTCTTCGAAGGAAACGTCAGGAAATATCTAGATTTAGTTATGCCGACGTGATAGCCACTAATTACATACAACAAACGTAAAATACTAGATAACTAGCTGCTTACATGTCCCAAGACAATGTTAAATACTTGATTTATATTCTCTTTATTTTTGGCCTCTTGTTAAAGTAATAATAACAATAAATTCATATAACTCACTGCCATTTCGCCTTTTTGCAGCAGTCTCCAGTCAACTCGCCACGGTGTCCAGCTCTATGGTATGCATGAATAATAAAATATTTCAAGCAATTAAATCTGTTAGCAAATCTGCTTTACATGGTGGAAAAATATTGCAATTAAAGTTGTTCTAGATCTGGAGATTAACAAGTTGAATTTTTTCTCCTAGCTCTAATTTTACTAAACAGAAACATTTCTACTTTCACAGCAACATTAAGATCACGAATAAATATCACCTTTAAAAGATATCTGTCCAGGTTTCATTGGAAAATATTCTATCAAGTACTATGAAAAGCGTTTACTTTCCGTTAGAATTCTGCAATTTAAAGATCTCTGTTTGAATTTCAACCATAAATGATCATAATCTGATGTAATATAATATATATAAAAAATACCCATAAAGATTACCACTTGAGTTGGTTACATTACCACATCTTGAGTTGAAGGCTCTTGGCAGCCAATGCTTAAAAAGAACTCTTAAAAAAAGTTAGATTTATTGTTCTTTGAAAACTGTTGTCAATGGGTACTTTATTTTATAGCTAGAATAGGCAGAATTTTATAGCTAGACTAATATTTTCTTCAATTTTTTACTTTATCAAGTTAACTTCAAAATTGCTGCTGCTTTGAATCGAAAAATAATTTATAGTTTTCAGATATATAGTCAGATATATAATTTGACTATTATCAGCATTCAATGCCTCTTTATCAAGAACTTTTCACCAATCAACATTTCAAGAATTTATGCAAATTTTTAAATAAAAAAAAGTTAAATGAAATAGTCCTTTTTTCCCACCATCAAACAAATGTTGACCAAACATGGCTCTTTAACCAAGAACAAAGTATAAACTCACTTTTTTCACTACAGGGATAGAGCATTCAACAGTTTGAAAACCCCGGTGTTGTATTCAATTAGCGTATTTTGACAAAAAACAGCACCTTTAAGATGAACCTTAAACCAAGAGATATTTATGACTTTTAATAAAGAGAAGCCAGGACCATTAGTCAGTTTCAACAGCCATATTTTCTTTTCACCACACATGGTTCGACCAAACGCAACTCTTTTCACTGTCAGTAGATTGACCAAACACAATTCGTTCAAGATGGAACTTTACCGAAGAATTATTGAATGTTTTTCTTTGAGCACAAGCAAGGAACATTTATCAATTTAACCGACCATGTCGTCTTTTTGCCGTAAGTCGTGCGACAACAAAGATTCATTAAAGATGGACCTTTAACATAGAATCATTTGAGGTATTCTATAAACACAAGAAAGAACATTTATCAGTTTAACCATCCATGTTTTCTTTCCACCGCACATATTTGGAACAAACGGAACACAGTTAAGATGGACCTTTAACAAAGAATCATTTGAGGTATTCTATAAACACAAGAAAGACCATTTATCAGTTTAACCATCCATGTTTTCTTGCCACCGCACATATTTGGACCAAACGAAACACAGTTAAGATGGACCTTTAACAAAGAATCATTTGAGGTATTCTATAAACACAAGAAAGACCATTTATCAGTTTAACCATCCATGTTTTCTTTCCACCGCACATATTTGGACCAAACGAAACACAGTTAAGATGGACCTTTAACAAAGAATCATTTGAGGTTTTCCATAAACACAAGAAAGAACCATTTATCAGTTTGACCAACCATGTTTTCTTTTTGTCGTGAGTAGTTCCATCATACGCAACTCATTAAAGATGGACTTTCAACAAAGAATCATTTCAGGCTTTTTAAAAATACAAGAATTAACAATTTATCAGTTTAGCTGTTAAAATGTCAAAACCAAGAGTTTACAGCAAGATAATTTTGTTACAACAACAAGTCCATCGTAAACTTTCAAGCAATAGTCAGAATTCAATAAGAATCAACCATTCAAAGGAGAAAACGATGAGAAACAAAGATAGCCATCTGTAAAACTCTGACAAAATAAATCAACGGACAATAGAAAGCAACAGCGAATGAGATTAAGTACAATACCAAGATAAGCCCTCTCTAGAACAACATAGATTAAACCAGCTCTTCATGGTCTTTAACATAGTCATATACGATTAGAGTCTTGTCTAGATAGCCAAGAATATCTTAGATTTGTAAACAAGCTGTTTATATTCCTAACGAGGAAGCCGCACAAAAGATCACCAGAAAAAGTTTAGTTTACAGCATTACAGTTAAGATGGACCTTTAACGAAGAATCATTTGAGGTATTCTATAAACACGAGAAAGGACTATTTATCAGTCTAAGCAGCCATGTTTTCTTTCCACCGCAGTTATTTGGACAAAACGCAACACAGTTAAGATGGACCTTTAACGAAAAATCATTTAAGGTATTCTATAAACACGAGAAAGACCATTTGTCAGTTTAATCAGCCATGTTTTCTATCCACCGCACATATTTCGACCAAACGCAAGACAGCTAAGATGGACCTTTAACGGAGAATCATTTGAGTTATTCTATAAACACAAGAAAGACCATTTATCAGTCTAACAATCCATGTTTTCTTTCCACCGCACATATTTCGACCAAACGCAACACAGCTAAGATGGACCTTTAACGGAGAATCATTTGAGTTATTCTATAAACACAAGAAAGACCATTTATCAGTTTAACCAGCCATGTTTTCTTTTTGCCGTAAGTCGTTCGAAAACATAGATTCATTTAAGATGGACCTTTAACGAAGAATCATTTGAGGTATTCTATAAACAGAAGAAAGGACCTTTTATCAATTCAACCAACCATGTCGTCCTTTTGCCCTAAGTCCTTCGAAAACATAGATTCATTTAAGATGGACCTTTAACGAAGAATCATTTTAGGTATTCTATAAACACAAGAAAGACCATTTATCAGTTTAACCAGCCATGTTTTCTTTTTGTCGTGAGTAGTTCCATCATACGCAACTCATTAAAGATGGACTTTCAACAAAGAATCATTTCAGGCTTTTTAAAAATACAAGAATTAACAATTTATCAGTTTAGCTGTTAAAATGTCAAAACCAAGAGTTTACAGCAAGATAATTTTGTTACAACAACAAGTCCATCGTAAACTTTCAAGCAATAGTCAGAATTCAATAAGAATCAACCATTCAAAGGAGAAAACGATGAGAAACAAAGATAGCCATCTGTAAAACTCTGACAAAATAAATCAACGGACAATAGAAAGCAACAGCGAATGAGATTAAGTACAATACCAAGATAAGCCCTCTCTAGAACAACATAGATTAAACCAGCTCTTCATGGTCTTTAACATAGTCATATACGATTAGAGTCTTGTCTAGATAGCCAAGAATATCTTAGATTTGTAAACAAGCTGTTTATATTCCTAACGAGGAAGCCGCACAAAAGATCACCAGAAAAAGTTTAGTTTACAGCATTACAGTTAAGATGGACCTTTAACGAAGAATCATTTGAGGTATTCTATAAACACGAGAAAGGACTATTTATCAGTCTAAGCAGCCATGTTTTCTTTCCACCGCAGTTATTTGGACAAAACGCAACACAGTTAAGATGGACCTTTAACGAAAAATCATTTAAGGTATTCTATAAACACGAGAAAGACCATTTGTCAGTTTAATCAGCCATGTTTTCTATCCACCGCACATATTTCGACCAAACGCAAGACAGCTAAGATGGACCTTTAACGGAGAATCATTTGAGTTATTCTATAAACACAAGAAAGACCATTTATCAGTTTAATCAGCCATGTTTTCTTTCCACCGCACATATTTGGACCAAACGAAACACAGTTAAGATGGACCTATAACGAAGAATCGTTTAAGGTTTTCCATAAACAGAAGAAAGGATCTTTTATCAATTTAACCAACCATGTCGTCCTTTTGCCCTAAGTCGTTCGAAAACATAGATTCATTTAAGATGGACCTTTAACAAAGAATCATTTTAGGTATTCTATAAACACAAGAAAGACCATTTATCAGTTTAACCAGCCATGTTTTCTTTCCACCGCACATATTTCGACCAAACGCAACACAGTTAAGATGGATCTTTAACGAAGAATCGTTTGAGTTATTCTATAAACACAAGAAAGACCATTTATCAGTTTAACCAGCCATGTTTTCTTTCCACCGCACATATTTCGACCAAACGCAACACAGTTAAGATGGATCTTTAACGAAGAATCGTTTGAGTTATTCTATAAACACAAGAAAGACCATTTATCAGTTTAATCAGCCATGTTTTCTTTCCACCGCACATATTTCGACCAAACGCAACACAGTTAAGATGGATCTTTAACGAAGAATCGTTTGAGTTATTCTATAAACACAAGAAAGACCATTTATCAGTTTAACCAGCCATGTTTTCTTTCCACCGCACATATTTCGACCAAACGCAACACAGTTAAGACGGATCTTTAACGAAGAATCGTTTGAGTTATTCTATAAACACAAGAAAGACCATTTATCAGTTTAATCAGCCATGTTTTCTTTCCACCGCACATATTTCGACCAAACGCAACACAGTTAAGATGGACCTTTAATGAAGAATCATTTGAGGTATTCTATAAACACAGGAAAGACCATTTATCAGTTAAACGAGCCATGTTTTCTTTCCACCGCACATATTTGGACCAAACGAAACACAGTTAAGATGGACCTTTAATGAAGAATAATTTAAGGTTTTCCATAAACACGATAAAAGGACCATTTATCAGTTCAGCCGACCATGTTTTCTTTTTGCTGTAAGTCGTTCGAAAACAAAGATTCATTTAAGATGGACCTTTAACGAAGAATCATTCGAGGTATTCTTTAAACACAAGAAAGACCATTTATCAGTCTAACCATCCATGTTTTCTTTTTGCCGTAAGTCGTTCGAAAACAAAGATTCATTTAAGATGGACCTTTAACGAAGAATCATTTGAGGTATTCTTTAAACACAAGAAAGACCATTTATCAGTTTAACGAGCCATGTTTTCTTTCCACCGCACATATTTGGACCAAACGCAACACTGTTAAGATCGATCTTTGACGAAGAATCATTCAAGGTTTTCTTTAAGGACAATGAAGGACCATTTATTAGTTTTACCAGCCTTTTTTTCTTTCCACCGCACGTATTTGGACTATAAGCAACACATTAAAGGTGGACATTAAACAAAGAACCATTTCAGTCTTTTAAGAAATTTATGAATAAACCATTTATCAGTTTAAGCAGCTATTTTTTTCTTTTCTTCGTAAGTACAGTACAAACGCGCATAAAAGAACCTAAGTTTTTATCAGGCAGCCTGAATAGGTTCCTAATTAACAGGCTGCTATTCTAAATTTCAGTCTAAAAGTTTCTTAACGAGTCTCCTATACGTACAGGACTTGCATACATTAACAATGTTTTCCACCGCAAAAATTCTAATGGACACACTTGAACCAGCTTTTTTATGTTAAATTTCAACCAATCTAATGAATTTGTCCTGTGAGACTGTCCAAGTAGCATACAACATACCATAACCTGGTTTACTCTAAAAACCATTTCATCTTTTATATATTTAAGAACCCTCCCAATCTTCAGCCTCTTGGAGTTTCTTAATTATGGGGATTTGAAGGTTAAATTGCAGCCTCAATGTTCTTATAAAAACAGGTTCTTTTATGCGGGTTTCTACTGTAGTTCGATTAAACACTATTCAACTAAGATGGACCTTCAACGAAGAATCATTTTAGGTTTTCCATAAATACAAGAAAGAACCATTTATCAGTTTAACCAACCATGTTTTCTTTTTGCCGTGAGTAATTCGACCATACGAAACTCATTAAAGATGGAATTTCAACAAAGAATCATTTCAGGCTTTTTAAAAATACAAGAATTGATCATTTATCAGTTTAGCTGTTAAAATGTCAAAACCAAGAGTTTACAGCAAGATAAATTTGTTACAACAACAAGTCCATCGTAAACTTCCAAGCAATAGTCAGAATTCAATAAGAATCAGCCTTTCAAAGGAGAAAAAGATGAGAAAGAAAGATAGCCATCTGTAACACTGACAAAATAAATCAACGGCCAATAGAAAGCAACAGCGAATGAGATTAAGAACAATACCAAGAGAAGCCCTCTCTAACACAACATAGATTCAAACAGCTCTTGCTGCTCTTTAACATGATCATATACGATCATAGCATTGTCTAGATAGCCAGGAATATCTTAGATTGGTAAACAAGCTGTTTATCTTCCTCATGAGGAAGCCGCACAAAAGATCCCCAGAACAAGCTTAGTTGACAGCATTAATTGTACGTGCAAAAGTTCAAAACTCTTCAATGTGACAAACATGCTGGCCAAAACGACGTCGATAAATACGATGAAAACGACCAACTGGAACTCAAAACGACAATGACGACAATGATTTTTTGATACACCCTCTCCTCTGCTTTCGTAGAATGGAAACGAGTTAAAATTCAAGCGCGCTGTTAAATAGCCAATAAAATGAGACTCCTCGAAGCACCAGCGTTTTGAATTCATTCGCATATTTTCTTATCATTGAATGTAGATCTTTTTAAAGAAAAGCCTATTTCTTATCCGATTTAAGTAGACAGCGAGTCACTTAAATACCCAACATCAAATGTAGAAAATTGATGTAAATATGTTCAGTTCCATTCTTCTTTGTAAATTGTATTGCTATCTTTCTTTATTTTACAATTTTCTGTTGCAAGAATATATGTAGTACACCTGAACAACTGTTCACCATCAGATAATTTTAGACTGCTTTTTTGTAACCTGAAATCTTTGAATTATTGCCTTTTTCACACGTCGGCCTCGGGTGGAATATTGAGCATAATAAACACGATATGAATATATTCAAATAACTGTTTAGAAAGTGCGATTGAAACAAACTCACCTACTCCTTGTGCCTTTAGCAGTTTTCTCCTGGAATGCTGCAATGAATGTATTCTGCTCAATAGCTTTTTCGGCATTGGAATGTCATGTCTCTGAGTTCCAAAGAATCATATTTTTCATATCGATCTAGCAAATTATTATTATACCATTTAAGTTGTGGATAAACAAATGTGAGAACAATTTTGAAAATAATTTGAATTGTCTTTGGGACACTGAACAGCCTTTTATCAGTATTTTACTTGTTTATTAATTTTAGTGCTATCACCGGCATAACTAAATCTAATATCCTGACGTTTCCTTCGAAGAAACAAAAGAATGTAGCAAACATTTAAAAATACAATTGTTCATTTGTGAGAGAGATTTCTAAACAATGCGAGATGAAATATAAACAAGCCCTCGCCATAAATAACCTCTTAAACATTTAAGTTCAAGACACTTGTTTACATATTATTATTTAATATACCTAAGAATTTCCTTTATCTCAATAAATCTCAAACTTTGTTGTGTCTAATGGTCGTAATTTATTAAAACTGCATTTCAGATTCCTGTTGCCAACGAAGCTAAAGAGCCAAACAGAGATAATAAATGGACGATAAAATGCTGTTTACTGAAAGAGTCGAAAAAGATACGTTTCAAAAAATTCAAGATTTTATTCTTTTGTATTCATTTTTCTTTAATTAAAAAAACCTTGGAAGTGCATGATAAATTTCGTATTAATTTCCTTTGAACGTAGGTACTTTGAGGGAATATTCAAAAATAAGATAGACATCAAAACAACGGATATTCAAAAATCTAAAAAAAATCATTTGTTTAAAGAGATGAAATATATAGAAGAAGAGGTAAAAAATTCCTCGTTCAACCCTGAATCGTGTATCAGATTACCAACAACTTAACAAAGTAAAAAAAGATACTCGGATACAAAAACATTAGATATGAAAATAAAACTGAATTTGGACTCTTTTTTTTGTTCAGAAACTAAGCCGTTTACATTTTC